AATATTTTTGAAACGTTGGGAATGAAAGGTTTAGCTGTCGTTTAAAATAAAGTTACGTTCGATTTAAAACTATGTTTGGATAGATCATGTTTATCCAACGGTCGTCGTGCAAATGGTGTTAGGTTTCGCTGAACCACTACGCCAAGAAGGGAATCGTTTGGCAAAGTAACTTACAATTTAGATTTGGTGACTAGTGAGAGGGACTGGCGAATATTGGTACCAACGGCCAAGCAGAAGAGTGTCCTAGAAATTCCGTGTCGGCGTGAAGTCGAATCGATTGAACGGATCGTTCCAGTACGCTGAGTCTGCATCAGGCCTCCCCCAAAGTGCAATTGAGTTCGTCGATTCCAAGCGAGCATGGAACGTTACGAACGCGCTATTCAAAGACACGCTGCTGCAGGCTCTTCTCTCCGTCTCATCGTGCCCCTGTCTCACTCGACCTCTTCTCTCGCCACATGCAATTACTCTGATTTCGCCTTTTGAAATGCGTAATTATCATCTGTAGGATTATATATACAGCTATAATTAATAGCACCGAAGGCGATTCATATTCTTTCTTTAATCATGTTACTATCATGTTTCGGCGATAATCTTTTTCAAGGAACGAAAGTGTAAAAAAAGCATTCAATAAATAATACAACTTAAAGTTTAGCCAAACATTAAATATTAAAAGCAATACTATAGACTATAGGTACTTAAGCGACGTAAGACGTGCCAACTTGTCTTCGGGGTGGGCTTTGCAATATGAATTTTGCCGTCGCTACACGGTTCTTAGATTACGCGTCGCGATGGCAGACGCACTTTGAAGTTGAGGTAAATGGCACTCGCCGGAAAAGCGGGTTTCTGATTCCCGTGAATCGGACCTGATGAACTACTAAAAACGAGCTACATTGTCGCGCGAAGTTTAAGCCCGTAATTTCTCGTCACGCTCGTAGGTCTGAACAGCCCGCACTGATAAAAGGAAAACAACGCTATATTTTTTAAAATTAATAATTCCTACTCTTCTATATGTACATTATAAATACAAATGTTTG